TTTTCTGATTCAATTTTTCGTTGACAAAACTTACTGGGGAACTACGCTTAAGAGCGAAATACACCACACAAGCGGCTTGACAAACCAAGCGAAATATCCCTTTGCTGCAAGCCATTTGTGTTGTGTGTGGGAAGTTTAAGGAATTTGCCCGCACTACTAGTATACCCTAGCCACTAGCGGGAACCCAGGGTGCCGCGGCACCCACTTTAGGAAAGCCTGGTATATAGCCTTTTCTTTAAATTAGCACGCATACAATTTTGTAAATAAAAAATACTTCATTTTATGTTTAAATAGCTATTTGTTTTGCACTAATTTACTTTTTGAGGCAAATTGTGCTTTAAAACTAGGAACATAAAGTGTCAGTTATTCCTTCATTTTCTAAAACCGTTATTCTTAAAAATAATTTATATTTGTTACGTATAACGGGTATTTCCCGGTTACATATAATTAAAACTAACTCGTGTGAAAAATGAGAAAAAACGGTGATATATTGAATTGAAATATTGAAAGATAATACATAGACTCTCCGACATCTAATTAAGAATATATAGAATCTATACTAATTATATAAAGAGAAGTCCCTTTTTTTGTAACAGGTAATCTGGCGAACGGCTGGTCCGATTTTCATGAAATTTTGTATATAAATAGAATTCAGCAACCACCATATTTTAGGCGAATAAAATTTACTTTTTTCCGGTAGGTAGACCAGTGACCGATCTATTTGAAAAAATCTTATTATGGTCCGACCGACCAATTGCTTTGTATGTTGCCAGCAGTGTTTGCCCTAAGTACTGCCGGCGAGCGACTTGAGGACCTTGTTACGGCTCTGTACTTTGTTGATAACTGTGGTTGTGTGCGTGGAGTAGAGCAGACTATCAAAGGTGAACCCTAAAATTTTCGGGTTGTTTACTGTCGGTATTGGTGTGCTGCCTAATTCTAGCCTGACCTCCTTCGCCCAGGTGGTGAGAGGGTCGCCGTTGATTTTGTTGGGGAGAGTGTTAGGCTTCTTGCAGTGAATAAGCGAGAAAGGCTGAGAAAGGCAGAGATCATCAATTCCATTCCCAGACGACATATCGAGCAGCCGTCGGCGTACGAGATCAGGGAAAACCACTCAGGTGGCTGGGGGAGCTTTGATATATAGAAGTTGAATAGTAAGGGGGAGAGGACATCACCTTGTGGTACCCCTTGATCATTCTTACTGACGACTATCGACCACTCATATAATTCGCCGACCATCGATTGAGTCCCTGTGGGAGTGAGGAGGCCTTCTAGCAAAGTTGTATGGCAGATATGCTGATGCTTCGTTGGGGTCAGGTGGTAGGTGAAGTATGCGAGTAGCAGGGCCTCTAGTGTCTTCGCGACCGGGGAAAGGAGCGTTTTCGGGCGATAAGAGTCTCTTTTGTTGGCGGTTTCCCCGGTTTTAGCAGTGGGACCACTCTCTTTCACACACTTTCAGCATCAGCATGCAGATTCCGTCGGGTCCAATGGCTTCGGAGGCCTCACTTCGCCGCTGGTGAAAACAAGTGGTGCACAATTTTTAGGCAGTTTGTGCAGCGCCCCTGTCACTCGATGCTTGGCCTTGACTATCGAAGGCTGTAGTGTGAATTGCCGACTAAAGTAGTTCGCGCATTTCTTCGGGACGGACGAAGCGCGACCTTGAAATGAGATTTCCACTCTGTCATCACGCTTCGTCGGGTTGGACAAGGACCTCACGGTTGACCATAGCTTACTCACACCAGAGGCGAAGTTACAGGCCTTCAAGTGCTCTTCCCACATTTTTCGCTTGTGCTGATTTACCAATTGCCGAATCTTCAAATTAAGGTCCTGCAAGCGAGGATCACCGGGATCGACCTGGCGTCAAGGTGGTCACGCTCATTTGCTAGTACAGCTGATTCAGCCGGGAAATTTAGCCAGGCTTGAGTGCCAAAGATCGTTGTGCGCGTAGAAGTCACCTACTACCATTCGGTTTTCACCTCTGAGTAGCGCACCTATGTCAGTCTGATATCCTGCCGAGCAGCAGGTGACAGGGGGTATATACACGTTAAATATTTCGAGCTCGACATCGCCTGAGTTGCTGTACAACTATCAATATGCCATACCGACCCATAAAGACTGCTATCTCTTCAATCTTGCTCTGGAGACCGTTGCAGTTCAGTTGTAAGAGTTTCGTATGCCTTGCGAGGCTGGTCGCGATACGGGAGGTGAAGAACGTGTGGGGTCTACCTTGGGCCGGTTGCTGTTGCTGCCTTGCGGTGGGTGGCTGCAGTGGGTGCGATGTTGTTTGTGCCGGCAGTGCTTTACAGCAGTGGGTGCTGTAGTTCGTTGTCCACTCGCGTGTGGGGCGTAGGCCGGAGCATAGACGGAAGTGGCACCAGCCAAGGTATGTATTGCATTTGACTGATGTCACGTTCCGGTATACTCTGTTCTGGCAAACGGAACAGATGGTTTGGACACCCAGGAGCTGCTGGCTGGCTCGCACACGCGAGTTGGAGCGGCCGGTAGATTGTTGTGAGGATTGAGCGGTTGCGGAGGTTTGCTGTTGCTCAGAGGAGCTTCGCGAGCGGGCAGCCGAGGAGGCTGGTGGTGCTATTTGGCTTAAGCAACAGGGGCCACAAAGCGTGTGGTCCACCCCTGGTGAGACCTAAGACCAGAACAGGTTGTTAGGAGACTCCATCCGTTGCTTGAGTTGCACCTAACCGAAATGGAGTTCGGATGGAGTTGATTCTGGCAAACGCAGCAGAAGTATGTTTCTGGTCCAGGGTTGGGCTCAACACTCGTCCGGAGAAGAAGAATGCGGAGCAATCCTGCTGCAAGGTATTGCTCCATGGACGTAAAATGATTGAAGGGTATCGCCGATCTAAACGGGGTTAGGTCGCCGAACAGCCCTTGGTCGGGTAAAACCCGAGTCATTAGGCACGTAGAGCTGGCTGTCGTGGGAATGCTTCATTTTCGTTTTCATCTTCGTATTCGTTTTTAATATATATGTAGATGTATGCAACTCCGTGGTATTAATTGCAAGTTCGAATACATATGTAACTTTCCAAACTTTCTCTTTTGACACCTCTGAAATACTTAGTATGTATATATTTTCAGTATCGCTTGGTGGAACAGTCTTTTCAAGCGATGCATATGTTACACATCGCTGACTTTCGAGTGAAAAGCCGCCCTGCTGTGGAACCTCGTGCTAAATGAATTCCTGCTCCGCACATCGAAAGCCGCTACGGTCGTTGCTTATGCGGATGACTAAGTTATTCTGGTCGTGGGAAATTCCTCTCCACGGGCAGAAAGAAACGGTCTAGGAGTTAATCCAACTAAAACCGAACTTTTTCTCTTCACCAAGCGATATAAAATAGACAAATTCCGAACTTCCGAAATTCCGTCCCTCAATAGAGCAAATCTTGAATTGTCAAGAGAAGCAAAGTTTTTGGAGGTTATTCTCGACTTTAAGCTTTCTTGGAAAAGGCACACCGAAGAGCGGAGAAAGAAGGCGCACAATGTTCTGTACTCCACATATAACAATAATACTAGATTGGCGCTTACACATATGTTAGTTTTGGCCGAGCTTCTCCTCCGATTTGTGGCGTGCGCCTTGATGTTGTCACACAAAGAGGAGGGACCTACAGTTTTACGCCGACTCGAACGGCGATTGTATTATTATGAGCTGTTTTTCATAGCAGAAATAAACTCGCGAGGTTTTCCATTGTCCCCTGCGATTTCTGTCATCACAAGTTGAGAGAGAGGGCAACTACCAACAGTAGGTGGGAAAGTCTGTACACCTGCAGGGTATCACGAAGAATAAGGAGTCTATTAAAGCTTTCAAAGCCAAACGTTAGGCTTCTCACAGGAATACGAACGGGACATTGGACCATTGGCCACATGGCCGCCAGGCTCGAGGCCCCGCATAACGATTTCTGTAGAAGCTGCACGGATGAGGAAAAAAATATTGTTTAGATCCAATTGCTATGCAGATACACAACATTTAGTGTTATTGTCTATAATCTTTTATTTAATTAAATTGTAATTTTAAAGTTTGTTTGAATTTCTTAAAGCTTTTGTAATTCAGAATTTGAAGACGGTAAATAAATTATGTAATTATGTGAATTATGCATTTTTTTTTTAAATACCAGACTTGTCCTCAATCAAAACATAAAATTTTTTTTTGTTATTTATCTTTTCATCGTAAGTTTAAATTGATCTTAAATGTCAAGTTTTACCTAATTAATAAAACAAATATATGTATATTTTTATTTAATTTCTACTTGAAATTAATGAAATTTTCTTTTAATATGCTGAGCGCTCGGAGAACTTTAGCTTTTTTGCCCAAAAATGCCCATTTAAATTATCAAAAAAAAAATAAAAATAAATAAATACCAAATTTTACCAACCTTTACGTTTTATGTTTCTATGTTTTTTAGCTCTAAAAAATATCGCCCAGTGAAAAAATGCTAAAAAACATACAGAAATTTTTATATTTAATAAGTAATACAACAAAGAAATTTTTCTCCGTGCATTACCACCAACAGATTCTCATTTTTGGGTAACATAACTAATACATCTCATTTTAGACTATTCTCTTTTTGGCTAGCACTGATTTAAGGGAATGGCACCTTTTTGGCTCTTTTATTTTCTATTTGCCATATTTTGGCAGCCTTGGTCAGCATCAGTGCAAAGCGCATTTATTTTAAAAATTCTAAAATTTTGCGATATCTTGTAAACTGTTATATATGTATTTCGCAATATCTGACTTAATATTAGGATTTAATAGCAAATTTCACATGGTTAAATGTTACAGATCAAAATTACTTTCATCTGGTGTTATCTAGCGACAAGACGGGATCTAATTAATTTTTAATGTGGTATAGGTTTACCCCACTTTAACTAAAGCAAAGGCACAACGCATACTGCACATAGGATTAGGATATTTCTCTGTAGAAAACCCACGAGGCGTGATGCATTTTTAGTGTTTGCTTTGAACGCCACGTATTCGTTACGTTACTTACCTTATAATCTGTACTATAGGAGGATAGGGCTTATCATCGTTTAAACGCAATATAAATCGTTTTAAAACATCATTTTCAGGGCTATTCACATTTGGCAAACCGTACACATAGTCAGGTAATTCTGCAGTCGACTTAACGCCTAATGAAGTAAATTGCGAATTAGTATAATAGCCAAATAAGCAGAAAAAGAGATATTCAATTACATACCAAATGCGCCTTCCAATACATTCACGGGCACATTTAGACCCACATAAATCATTATAAGATTACCACAGTCAAGTAAGAATATTGAACGCGAATCCAAGCTGTGTAAAGAAAAGCAGACAGTTTAACTCATTACAATTATGAGGTAGCTATGCACTAGCAGTAAGTACACTTACAATTCGGCTGAGAGTTGCAGGCGTGGCACATCCGGCAAATCATCTTCTTCTTCATCTTCTGCAGCATTCGCATTTGAATTTTGATTTGCATTTGGATAAAACAATGCATCAATTAGATAAAACTCTGGATAAAGAAATTTCATCAATTGATCCAATGGCAATGTTTTCATGCAGTCCATTGCGTATACGCGATCATCTAAGCGAGTGCTTGTGCCTACACGGAAAGCCGGCTGTATGGATAGAAATACACCACTAATTAAAGAAAATCGTTTGTTGGCTTGCCCTTTACTTACATGCTTCAATAACGCCGATATATATAGCGGCATCAATGCTAAGCTCCGTGGCGCAATCAATTGACCAGTTTGTCCGGATGGTAGATTTTGTGCAATTTTAAATGCATTGAAAATATCTACAGTTGCATTGATGAACGCTTCACGAGCATCGGCGACATTCGATGATAGTGACCGATCAACAGCCATTTTCGAAAGCAAACCAATTATAGCTTCTGTATCGGCAGCGTGCATGACTTCGGGCAGTGAGGCAGTCACGGGTAGGCACATTGTATGGACACGTATACGACGTTCGCCCTCGCTATTTGTGTACAACAGCGCTGCTTGGAAGCAAACCGTTTTCGCCTCGCTCAAGGATTCTTCGTATGAAATCTATAAAATACTCAAGTTAATAAAAAAGGAAAAACAGATAATAATAACCAACTTACTTGCATGCCATAGCCCGCATCGGGATTCACATTTGGCAGCGAAAGCAAATCAGTCGAGCGTACGAAGAAATTGCCATGGAATGTGTGCACCTGCAGACCGCGCGTACAACGAATGCGCATGACTGCCTCAAAACCGATTTTACGTACCAGATAGCGCTTGAAGCATTGCTTGAATGAGTCCACCAATTGCGGCTTTGTTTTCTGATAGAGTGGGAAGTGATGAACACAACCGCCACTATGTTTGCTAATGCCAGCTGAAAATGTGAGAAAAAACGCTTATTTAAATTTATTCGAAAACGCAAATCTTCGAAACCGCTTAAATGATTTCAATGAAATTTTATGAAATGTATACTGCTGGCTCCAACTTGAAAGATAGGATACTTTTGTATATGCAGGAGTCGAAATATTTGTAAAAAGCAAAATCCTTAAAATAAAATGCTACATTTTTTCGCATAGACTAACACGTATTGTTTGTATGTTTATGAGTTAAAAGGCAACTGATTTATACTTTTACGGTCCATATATACTTAAGATCAAAAGATAACTATTGTTCACAATACGTTGATCTTGAAATCTAGTCATGAAATCAAAATTATTACTCACATATCGTTGCCATATCACTGTACTGCTGATTCATCAAAAATAAATCCACAGCTATTTGGTAACCAGAACATTCTAAAGCATAACGCTTATAGAAATCTGTTGCTGGATTTAAATGAGCTACATCTTTGGCCGAGCGATTGTTGGGATCTTCCCGCGGCTCCAGCGAGCCAGATCCCATGTTGGGAAGGCACGTTTGGAAAACAGTTACACGACCACCTGATGCTTGCTATTTTATAAAATATATATAAGACATTATCCTCTCTTCCTATTTGCCTTCACATGTACTGACCATTAATTTGTAAGCAACCTGCAAAGCAGCGCCAAGCGCCGAACCCGGATCATGTGTATCGGCAAAACGCTTTGGCAGTTGAGTTAGTAAGTCCTTTACCAGCTCTTTACACTCCTTTAAATTCACCAACAGATTGTCAGGTCGTGGTAAGAATGGATCTTAAGAAAACAAAAAAATATATATATATAACAAAAACTCGTTTAAGTCAGAATATGACTAACCGTCAATATCGAGTAAAGTTAGTTCGTGTGGCTGGTTGTAGCCTTCTGCCAAGCTGTAGAAATGCACGTGACTGTTGTAAGCAATAAAACCAATCTGTGTACGTGCATCACCTGGCATATCATCTAAATGTTTACTCAGTGTTGTGCAAACATTCTCAAGGTACCCACTCTGCTGGGCAATGATGGAAACATCGAAAAGGAACAAATATATGGCAGGTTGGGGAGGTCGTAACTGTAAGGAAAGATGATAAGAAAAAGATGAATATATTTTATTCTTCTCTATCACTACAACTGTTTATCAGTTCGGGCTGAGAAAATATTAATTTTCTTTGACCTACCATATATTCCGAGGGCGCAATAAATTCAATGGTACTCGAACGCACCTCTGGACGACGTGTGACATCACCATAAGTTTTCGTTGCTGGGTCATATTGAAAATCATCGGGCACTGTGGCAAACCAATATTAATTAAGAAACTAGGTAGTTGGATTGCACGCGGTACTTACATTCGTTGACCCGATAGCAAAGATTGCACTTCCACATTTTACTATCGACAAAATACACAAAAGGATTTATGTATGTGCGACACAACCGGCAACGTACAATATTAGGGCATTGAATGACTGGTAAACTCTGGAAAATTTTAAAAAAGGTTTAATTTTTTATGATGTATGTATGTGTGTAGGGCTAAAAGTAGAACATGACTCATATAAAAATAAATTAATATTTTTATAACCGATAATAGCCGGGTGTCTAAACTACCGGAGAGACCCAGTTTTACATCTGCGGAATGTTACAACTTGTTCAACCTTTACAACAACAACCCAGTAGACAATTTCAGGAGTTAAAAGCCCTTCCGAAAGGCCTTCCTGAGAGTCAAGGGGCCTTCCAGTCTACATTGTTTTTTTCCTTTCTTCTTTTGCGTTGAAGGGCTTCTTCTTTCGTTACCCATGGAGGGCCTTCCAGAAGACCTTTTATAGGGCGTACTTCAGAAGGCCTTTTGGAGGAGTTCCTTTAAAGTTGCTTCTTTAATTAATAAAAATCATACATCTTTGAAGTATTTGCTTAAGGTTTATATCAAATATGTGTTATTGTAACTTAAAATGTTTATTAAAATTCATTTGTAATGCTGAATAATGTAAATTTATGCATTCGCGGAAATAGTAATTGGATAGGCCCTTGTAGAAGGCATGCAAGGAAGCACTTTTTTCAGCCCTTCTAGGTAGGCCTCTTATAATGGCTTTATTTAAGAAGGCCTACCTAAATTAGCCTCTGGGAACTTCAGCAACACTCATCGTTGATAAGAAATTGTTTAAATCCACCACAAAACATTGAGACTAGTTATAATTCCTAATTTTTGTTATCAAAAATAATCCCTATTCAACAATTTTATCCTTTTTGAAATTATATGTACATATGTATATTTCTTCGTTCATCTACGCTCGATCTTACCAACGCTAAGTTAAAATAACAAATCATAAATTCATATATATATATATATATATGTATATATGTATGTACATATTTCTACTTACATTAATATCACGGAATGGATGTATTAAAATGCCCAATGGTAAACGGGACTTTTGTAGCAGCGAATTACTTTCTGGTATTTTCGCGATGGTGCAACGCATAATGCTGTCAAAGATATTTGTAAATTCAAATAAGTTTATTCTACACTTTTCATTCTAACTTGAACTCACGTTGGCATACTTACTTGGAACTACAATTAATAGATTCGTGGAATTGATTATTGAGTACAATACGAGGCGGCGACAAAGTGGCTGGTGACAAAATATGACGATTTTGCATCAAATCAATGGTATCCTGACCCCAAAGTCGACTGAAACCCGCCTGTGTAACGCTCATTTGCTGATTGTATGCACCGCCACTGGGTGGAGGAAAATTTTGTTGCTGAGGGAATTGCTGCGTCTGCACTGGCGGAGGTTGCTGCATATAAGGCGGCTGTGATTGGTATTGCAGTGGTGCAGCATTCGGTAGACCATTGAAAAGACCTGGCTGTGGTTGTTGCTGATATGCCTGCGCATATGGTTGCTGTTGTGGTTGTAGCTGCTGTGGCTGATGTTGAGAAGGTGGCAGCATTGGTGGCGGTCCTGTTGGATACATAGGTTTGCGTTGCGATGCTGTCTGCTCTTGTGTATTGTTGTTTAATTGATTTTGCTGTTGTTGAGCGGTGGCTGCAGAACTGGTACCAGGCAACGGTGGTTGCGATGTAGGCCCAACCAAACCAGGTCTGTAATTTTCATTCGAAAACATGGACGCTTGAGGCGGCATTTGTTGCACACCTGGTGATGCATTTGTCACAATTGGATGTGAACGTGATGTGCCGAACATGCTCGCATTGCTTGCGGGTGGCGCATTAGTAAGAGATTGCGTGGGCGCCGTTTGACTGAGGGACGTGCTCGCTGTAGGCGGTTGCAATAGCTTGCTGCCGGCATAAAGCGCGGATGTGTGCGACGGCGGCGGAACGCTTGCTTGGGATGCTGTCGGCTGTCCGGGTAAAGAAGTAGCCGTATTTATGGCGTTCGTACGGAAATTTGTCTAATAGTGAGAAATTTAAAGCATTTCCTTTGTCAAAGAAAGTGTTTTAACTCACCTGATAGTTGTTGGGAAACTGCTGTTGATGTTGGTTTGTAGCCAAAGGCGGTTGCCCCTGATGCGTGAACGTGTTGGAAACATTTGGCGCTGTCGTACCATTGGTGCGATTAATACTCAAATTCTGCATGCTTCCTGACAAGCCAGGCGCGCTTCCAGTGGATGCAAATTGCGGATTGCTTGGCGTCACACTACTACTACTAGACGCAAAGTTCATCGGTGGCTTTGCTGCATATCCGCCATGCTGCGATTGTTGTGCCTGTTGCTGTTGTTGCGCTAATGATGGCGAAGCTGTGCGCGAAGAGTTCGTGCTTAGATTTCCGCTACCACCGCCGCCATTGGTCAAGGGCATACCTCCTGGTGTGCCGTTCAAACCAGGTGGCCGCAAATGTGGCGGCAAATTGCTAGTTGGCGCTGATGTTGTTGCACTGTTTGGAGGCCGCGCTGGTCCATTAGTTGGCTGAAGCGCTGAACTAGATGCTGGCGGCAAAAATTTACTCATATTACTTTGGAGTGCTGGAGCAGGCTGCGGCAACTGCTGCTGCTGTTGTTGTTTGTGTTGAAGTATATTTTGCTGTTGGCCCATTGGAATAGGCGGTGGTGGTGTACCGGCGCCACCTGGTGCCTGCGATAGCTGTTGTGTTGCTGGTAAGCCATTCACCAAGTTCGACTGTCCCATAGGCGGAGGACCGTAATTCGTATTCGCATAACCAGACATTTTCAACTTAATTCAATTCATAGAAATGAAGAAACCTGTAAAATAGAACAGTGGAGAATTTTTAGTAGGGTTATAAACAACAAATGATTATTTAAAGGTGCTTGTAATAAAATATAAAGTGCAAAATTTAAAGATGGTTCATTTTAATTTATTGCGATATTTAATTAACTTGACAATATCATTCCTAAGGTCATGTATGTTGCAAGCAAATGGTTGCATTACTTTGTACAAACTACCATTAATTATCTGCACTTCAAATGCCCTTGCGGCAGTTCACGTAGGGCTTGTTCGAGCTGCAATCACAACCGCAGTGTTGCGCGAATTATTAAAGTATCACGTTCTTGGTGGATTTCTAGCAACGTATTATCAGTTGGGCAGTTGCAACAGTGTTGCAAATTTTCATCAATACGGCAGTAATGCCGCTTTTATAACGTGCCTCGAACAGGCCAGTAATTTTGGTGATAGCTTATGGAGTAGTAAATTCGTAGTTTTAAACAAGGTTGAACAATTACTGTCGTGTTTTATTTGTTCTACATTTTACATATATATATATACAAATATTTTTAAAATATTTCAAACTTTATATACAATGACGGCCAGTTGAATAGCGCCCCCTTTTGATCCTCTGTATTGGCGGTTTTGCTCGAGTTTTTTTAATATTCACGAATTTTTTATAAAAATATAGGAATTCTATAACAAAAACCATGTAAATCCAATGTTCACTATTTATGTAAAATAACTCAACAAATTTCAAAAAAAAATTTGACTTTCGTTACCCATTAAACTTTTTTTTTACAAAAAAAGGTATATAAATTCACGCGATTTTTAAGAAACTTAAAACTTGCACCATGGTGTACTAAAATTGAAGGGGTATTAAACTGAGTACTCAATAACATATATTCTCGAATTTGTTTAAAAATTTAAAATTTTTTATGAAAATTGGTTGAATTATAAGTTTGGTAAGTTTGAAAATCGAATTTATACGGTTTTTGTTATAGAAAATGCTATATTTTTTTTTTAAAAGATTAATAATAATAATAGATTGGCGTTTACACAATATATTAGTGTTTGGCCGAACTTCTCCGATTTGTGGCGTGCGACTTGATATCGTCACACAAAGGCGAGGAGAAGCTGTTTTTCATAGCAGAAATACACTCGGAGGTTTGCCATTGCCTGCCGAGGGCCGACCGCTATAAGAAAACACTTTTTTTTTTGGTTTTTATTTTTTGATGATGGCCCTGCAGAATGCTGGTAAAATTAATTATTATTAACAAAACAAACGTAAAACTGTCAATACTGACTATCCCAAAGTGGGGCTATTCAAGTGGCCGGAACTGTATCAGCGTTTATCTCACTAAGTGCTCTCTTTAAAACTTATTGTGATAAGACTTATCTTACAGACAGGCATTGGAAAAAGCGGAGCACAAAGCATAAAAAAGAATATGTCGTTGATGAAATGTAGAAAGGCCCTGACTGGTATTTTTCCGTAATGCAGTTTTTTTATATCTTATACTAAAACGCATCTTCCTTAAAAATTTGTGGGCCGTAACTTAAAACCAAATGACTTTATGACCAACTACCCTCTATTGGGTCCAATTATTTCTTCTATTTTTAACGTCCGTAACCAACTCTAAGAGCGTGTTTTTTATTTTATATTTATTTCAGTCCCACAAAAATTCTATGCCCATAAAAATTTTATATTTTGAGCATTTACAACTTTATTTATAAGTCAATTTTCTTCGTTGATAGCTTGATGTTTTTTCTAAAAGAGAGGGCTTTAACACAAAAAAATGAGTTTCCAATCTTGAATGGGGTAATTGCTTATATTAAGTACTAGCAAACTAAAGTGAAAAGCAAAGCTCAAAGAATAAACCTTGCTGGTCATCCCTCTTAACTGCAGTGCAGCTTTTGATACAAATGGGCTATCGTTCATTAAAATAGCGAAGTTCAACCAACAACAATGAACGATTGAAAACTACGAAATATTTTTTCGTCGTATCTAACTTGCCCTCATTCACTTTACCAGTCAGCCGAAAGCCTCTGCTGCTAGCGCTGTGGTTTATGGTTTATATAATAATTTTTATTGTTATGCAAGCCTTTTATAAATAAATAAATAAAAAAATTTAATTTAAGTGATTATTGGCCTTGACCTTAACCCAGAAATAGCTCGCACAAAAATATACCCGCTAACTTGCATGTCAAGACGAGTTATGCATATACATTTTAAGATACATACTTACATATGTACATATTAGGGATGTTGCGAATGTCGAATTTTAGACATCCGCGGATGCGAATGCGGATGTCAAGTATTTTTAAGAAACAATTAGGTAAGTAAATTAAGTTAGGTAACTAAAAAAAGGAAAGAGTTAATAATTTTTAATAATGTTTATTTTTATTTAGTACTTGAATTTAAAAATTGGAATATTATATGTAATAAAAAGTAATGAGAATTGTACCGGTGCTGAAAATGTCGGATGTATCCTCCTGACTTTCATATTCACTTGAAGAATCTAGCATAATGGCGATATCGTTGTTGAAACAGCGCTTACAAGCCAAACCAGATGACTCAGGTTTCTCTAAAGCTTTTTTAAAAGAATTCTTTATTCTCATTCCTTTGGCTGTTTCAGAATTTGAGGAGCCTGTAACGTCATCAGGGGTTTTTTTTTTTATTTAGTTTTTGTAATTACTTTCCTCTGCGACTGAAAAATGTGTGCTTATAGCGAGCTAAATAGGTGGATATGGAAAATAAATTATTATTTTCCAGGAATGAAAATTTTGAGCGAAATTCTGTTTTCAAAATCGTGGCTGCCAGCCGAATCGGATCAGAATATTGTTACTTTTTTTTTAACACCCCGTTTTTATAAGCATTTGAATCTCAGATAGTTATGTAATTCTTATCTAATTAAAGGTCAGACCTATAGCTTTTTAATTATTTGAGCATCGATTCTCTTTATAGCCAAACGTCGATCATGTCTGCTGGAAATCCCTATTGAAGGATCTTACTCTTTGACTTTTATTAGCAAAGAAGGGACAGTTTTACCACAGATGTTTTTAGCCAAGGATCTAATGTACATATATATGTATATCCCTATGAAAAAATATTACCCGACAAGTAAACAAAATTACTGTTTTTAAAATTTTTGCTAAAAATAAATTCCCCAAAGAGCCCCAATTGAAATTATTGAAACGAATATATCGTCACCTGAAATGCAAAAAGACGTAACGAACATCAGCGTTGAAATGCAAAAAAACAATACTAATAAAAAATTCAAAATTCAGTTTTTGATTTATATGATGGATTTTTATCATTTTATGAAATAAAATTAAAATATTAATCACGACTTTTTCCATTTCATAAACAATGTTGTTACGTCTTTTTACATTTCAGGTGACGATATGTAACATCAAAAGCAAATCACGAAAATTTGGTTATGAATTACAGTGCACACTTTCTTCTTTTATAACTTAATAGTTTTTTTTTAAGATTGGTCCAAAAAAATCATAATAAAGAAGGAAACAATTGCAGGTATTTAAAGAACAGAAAAAAAATAAAAAATATTATTAAAGGACTATGTTCTTTTTGACGTACGTCAAAGGTCAAGTAGAAGTGGGAACTTTTATGACTGCCCATTAATAGCTCGGTTATAAAGCTTAAAAAATAATATATTTAAAGTTTTGTTAAAGAAATGCCCCCACGACCAAAGCCAAAAAACATTGGCTACAAATACAAAAACAATTTTGTTTGCCAAATATACGTTTTATCGGTGCACTTGCACAACATTCGCATTCGCAAAAACTCCGCATTGATTATTGCGAATGCGAAAGCAAATGTTAAAAGTAATGCGGAAGCTCCGCGGTTGCGAACGCGAATATTCGCAACAACCCTGGTACATATGCATGAATCATACATTCCATAGTATATACATTATAATTATTTTTGTTATCTATGCCAAATTTTAATAATATGTTTATATGTGGATACACTTAAAAATTCTGCCGTCGCTATTTCGCATTATGGTATGTATTATGTATAGAGGCAAAAATTCGAGAAGCATCGCAGCATTCATATCTGCTTGATTAAAAAAAAATATTAAATGAAAAATTCATGACGTATTGATGATGATTGTATATGTATGCTTTAAGATGTATATTAACAAATTATATCAAGAGTGGCGGGTGAGTTAAAGATATATTTTTCTTCACTCGTTGCCCGTTCCCCAAAATTGTAACCATACGTATATATATATATATATATACACTTAGGTCTCTTTTCGCATAAAAAAAAAATTCGCATAAAAAAGTTCTTTACTTTCATACAAAAACAGGGGATGCGTTCCAGCATTTTCAAAAACCGCATAAATTCAGATACTCCATTTAAAATTTTTTAAAAAACTGTGAAGAACCAGTGGGGCATTATTGAGCAAAAAAAAACTATTTATTTCTTCACTTCAACACTTATTATTCCATGTAAAACCGAACATCAATGAAATAAATAAAATTTTATCTGTATTTTAACCAAAAAATAAATAAATAAAAATACCACAATAAATACATGAATTATGTAAGATTACATAAAAAAAATTTTAGAAAAAAGGTTTTTTCTTAACAGCGGTCGCCCCTCGGCAGGCAATGGCAAACCTCCGAGTGTATTTCTGCCATGAAAAACAGCTTCTCGTAAAAATACAATCGCCGTTCGGAGTCGGCGTAAAACTGTAGGTCCCTCCCCTTTGTATGACAACATCAAGGCGCACATCACAAATTGGAGGAGAAGCTCGGCCAAACACTAACATATGTGTAAGCGCCAATTTATTATTATTATTATTATGTAAGAATACAAAGACAAATTATTTATCAGAAGCATTGGCTTTTACACACTGAAAAAAGTAATAAAAACTCTCAAAACAGCAAAATCGCTACTGCGAAATAATGGTTTGAAAAACCGCATAAATTCAAATCCGCATAAAAAGAGCGGAAGCACAGTGCTTCCCTTCCATATA